ATATTTTTTTCCAAGACAACAGGGAATAAAAATAGCATAAAATAGAATAAAATAAAACGGAGTAAAGTACAATAAAACAGAAAAAAATAGAACAGAATAAAATAGGAGAAAAAAAATAAGGTAAAATGAAATAACTTAATAACTAAATAAATAAAATAAAATGAATATGTCATCACGATCTATTATCACTCTGGTGGCAGCACTCCTTGTTGAAACCTGGCATTACGCGGATAAAAATGTGACGGCCAGCAGAGCTTGCAAATGAAACATGTCGCTATGCAGGCGGATCAGTCTCCGCATTGGAAAATACTCCCCCCCTTGCTATAATTATGCATTTCTGTAAACATGGAATCGCCTTCATTCCGTTCATTTAGTTAATTCCGCGCATTCCGTTTATTCCCTTCATTTCATTCATTTTGTTCATTTCGTTCACTCCCCCAATTTCCTGCATTCGATTCTCTCCTTTCGTCACCCTATGGGGGCCGCCCCTGGCCTTCGACATCGCCACTTCCCACGCAGCAGAATGCTAAGATCAGAGTTAGATTTCTTGGGGAAACCCATATACCAACCCCTGACTGAACAAATTCCGATAGACTTGGCAGGAGATAAGCTCTTAACCCATGTGAAAAATTGGTATGACGAATACAACATAGAAGAGGGCTGTGCCAACGTCAAACTTGGCAGCATCAAAAAAAATATCAACTTATCTGCTAACGAATATAAAGAATTCACCACGGATGATTTTAAAGGCATCAGGAATAAAAAGGAGTTTAAAGGAATATTTTACTCCTTCGGGGAAGGATGGGACTACAATAACCATGATGGGAGGTATCACAGAAAGGACAGTGACCATGAGAGTCGTGGCGATGAGAATGAGAACGATGAGAGTGAAGACGATGAGGATGAGGAAGATGAAAACCATGAGGATGAAGACAATCCGGATGAAGACGACAACTGTTATCAGAGAAGGAGTTACTACCCTTCTGGAGCACGCGCCAATGAAAACTGGCAGGGATTTGCCTATTACAACCACGAGAAGAAGGCTCAATTTTATTACGACGGAGTCGAATCAGAAAAGATATTTACAAGGACAAAAAAGAAACGTGTAAAGGGAAACTTCAGAGATACAATCACACAGGCAACCGACACTGATAGCCACGAAGAAGGGATGTGCTTGGGACCATCTGCTAAAAAATCTCAAGGACAACAACATTACCAAAATCGTAGAATGTCAAGGGTCCCCCGGCGAAGGACGTCATCTGGAGAGACAGGGAGTGAATTTGGCGAAGCAAGCGAGTCATCGAGTTTCATAGATAA